ATGCGGAGCAGATATCCCCACTTATTCAGCAGTCCAGGTACTTTCTATATCCGTTCGAGGACGAACGTTTGTTTAAGAGGTGGAGAATGTAACGACCCGATCGGTCGTTTTGCCTGTTCGAACCCTGTTCCCCTAAATAAAGCCTTATGTACTTGCTTTAACTAATTTATAACTTGCGGGGACGGTTGGTTCGGGAGTTGGAAGAGTTTTCGAGTAGAATATGTCCATTTTCTTCTTTAAGATTTTCTTAAAAGGCCAAGTTTGACTTCGGTCAACTTTCTTGGGAAACAGACCCGGATTCATTATTTGACGGTCCCGGAGGGTCCGTGGGAAAATATGAAACCTGGGCGTATGTCCGTAATCGAATTCCGAGGTCCCTAGCCCGAGTAATGAATTTTTATGTGAAATTGTTATACTGAAGTTTTAAAGAATTAAAGAAACTAAGTACTCATTGATTCCCTAGGTACCGGTCTCGGATTTTGGTTCCGAAACTTGGTACAGGTCCGAAATATCAGTTAAGACTTACCCGTAAAATTTGGCGCCAATCCGAGTAGTTTAAGGGCGTTTTGACCCGTTAGAGGAGAATTAAGAACTTGAAGATTCAATAGTTTAATTCATTTGGTTTTAGGGGGTGATTCCAAGATTTAGCGTTGTTTTGGGAGTTCCGAGAGTTCAAGTAGGTCCGCCTCGTGATTTCAGACTTGTCGGTATGTTCGGACGGGGCTTGGGAGCCCCGAGGGTCAAACGAGCGAGGTTCGAGCGAAGTAGGAAAATTGAAGAAGAGCTGAAGTTGCTGCTTCTGTCATAACTGCATCTGCGGTTCTTGGACCGCAAAAGCGGGACCGCAGATGCGGTCAGCCCATCGCAGAAGTAGAAGGGCCCAGGCCAAGGGGAGCCGCAGAAGCCGCCCAGGGACCGCAGAAGCGGTTCCGCTTATGCGACCCCCAGACTGCAGAAGCGGTCCAACCATTTAGGGCCCAAGCCGAAGAAGCGGCCCAATAACCGGAGAAGCGGTTCCGCATATGCGGGCCTGAGACCGCAGAAGCGGTCCAACCCCCCTCTTGCCCAGTTCCGCAGATGCGGCTCCATTTTCGCAGGTGCGGGACCGCAGATGCGGTCCCCAAACCGCAGAAGCGGAAATCGCTGGGCAGTGGCCTTTATTTAATTCGAACTCAACACCATTTTTATCATTTCACACTCCACACTTAGGCGATTTGGGGGCTTCCAAAGAGAGGATTTCAACATAGCACTTCAAGGTAAGTTACTCCCATTCATTATTAGTTTAAATACGTGTATGTTAGGTAGATTAAACACTAAAAATTCGATAAAATCAAAGGGTTAGAGCTAGACCTAGGGTTTTAATAAAACTAAGATTTAATCATGAAATTTGTTATGAAATGGACTAGAAATCATATATTATTGATCCTTAGATTGTAGAGAACAATTTCCTTCGAAAAATATCGGAATCCGGGCACGTGGGCCCGGGGTCGGAATTTAGGAAACTTGTGGAAAAGGTTGGGAAATTACTTAAACAGTTAGAATTCGACCTTGTAGGCCTTTGTTAACTAGTTCTTACTTATTTTAACTAGTTTGTGATCGTTCGGCTCTGAATTAAGAGCTTGGGCTTGTTCTTGATATTGGAAGTGCGCTTTGGAGCGAGGTGAGTCTCCTTTCTAACCTTGTAAGAGGGAACTGCCCCAATAGGATTAATAATCGATTAATTGTTGCTAAATGCGGGGGCTACGCACGCGCTAGGTGACGAGAGTCCGTGCGTAGCTACTACTATGTTAATTGTCCGGGTAGTTTAGGACCCACATCATGCTTATTTTATATGACTCTCTATATTATCTGTTACTACGAGCACCTAGGATATGCTAGAGATTTAAAAAGGGAATAAGAACGTACTTGTATAATTGTTGAAGTCTTGCTTGGCATTAATGACTATTGATGTTCCTTGTGTGTATACTTGATATTTCTTCTCATTTGTGGATCAGGCCGATCGCCTCGGTATGAATAGATGCATCTATAGGCGCGCCGTCGACCCACGGCAAGTGCACGGTTTATTTCTGTTGGATCGGGCCATCGCCTCGGCATATTTGCGCATGCTTATATAGCTTTGCCTGAGAGTGTTAAATATTGGTATTGCCTTTCATGGCCCGAAATGAATTGATAATTGTAACTGTAGTAATTGATTAATTGGAATCCTGGTGAGAATATGACTTATATGCCTTGTTGTAAACTGTTGCCTATTAAAGATTTTTCATTGTTAAAATTATACTTATGATATTATCTGACCCTAGTGAGTATCAAGTCGACCTCTCGTCTCTACTTCTTCGAGATTAGACGGGATACTTACTGGGTACATATTGTTTATGTACTCATACTACACTTCTGTACTTAAATGTACAGGATCTGAGACAGGTGAATCTGGTTATCATACTGGTGCGCATCCGTGAGCGGACTTGGGACTTCTACGGTGAGCTGCTTTCCCTTCATGTCGACCCGCAGCCGAAGAAGTCTTTCCTTTGTATTTATATTTTCTGTCTATTTGGATTCAGACAGTAGGATAGTGTGATATTCTTTTGGATGTATATTCTACTAGCTGCCCGTAGCTTGTGACACCAGGTTCTAGCACACACTTTGGTAGACGATTATTTTGGGGTTGTGTAATCATATTATTCACAGTATTTTGTTTCTTTTTCTGGTTTAAGTTTCAAGTTAAGTGTTTATCTCACTTATTTCTAAACAGAAGCAACATAAGAAATTTTAGAAATGTTTCCGCAATGGCTTGCCTGACAACGGTGTCAGGCGCCTTCATGATCTATTTGTGGAAATGGGTCATGACAACATGGTATCAGAGCACTAGGTTCACGTAGGTCTCACGAGTTACGGGAAAACCTTATAGAGTCTTGATTGATCGGTACAGAGACGTCTGTATTTATCTTCGAGAGGCTATAGGATATTAGGAAAGACTACTCTTTATTCATTTCCTGTTGTGCAGTGCTTAGTGTACTAAATTCCCTCTTCTATTTTCTCACAGATGGTGAGAACTCGCACCGCCGACGTTCCGGACCCGGGAGGAGCTGTTCCCCCCGTTGTTATAGGCCGAGGTAGAGGCCAGGGGAGGGCACCGGCCCGTGGTAGGGGACGAGGGCGTCCCAGAACCGTTCCAGTTGCACCACCGGCAGATCCTATGGGGGACCCTATTATTGAGGAGCAGGGCGAGGTGCCCGCAGCTGAGCCTACCCCGGCGGATTTCATGACAGCACCGGGATTTCAGGAGGTCATGGGTCGCATGCTACTGTTCATGGACACTATGACTCAGGCTGGTTTATTTCCAGCAGACCCAGCCACTTCACAGGCAGGAGGGGGAGCCCATACCCCTACTGCTCAGGCTCCAGGCCATGCAGGTGCAGTATATCAGACTCCGAGTGCACTACCCGCAGATGGGACTCAGCCAGTTGCTGTAGTGGCACACCAGCCCAGGCCAGCTGTGGATGGTGATCCACAGAAGTTGTTGGAAAGATGGACCAGGCTTCATCCTCCAGTCTTCGGGGGTGAGCATCATGAGGATGCTCAGGATTTGATAGACAGGTGCAGGGACAGACTGCACAACATAAGGATATTGGAGTCGCATGGAATTGACTTCACTACTTTTCAGCTTGAGGGAAGGGCACGTAGATAGTGGCAGTCCTATGTTCTTGGCAGGCCAGCGGGTTCTCCTCCCATCGCTTGGGATCAATTTGTACAGTTGTTCTTGGATAGGTATATCCCGCCCTCTGAGAGGGAGGAGCTGCGGTACCAGTTTGAGCAGCTCGAGTAGGGTCAGATGTCTGTGACTGACTATGAGGCGAGGTTTTCTGAGTTGTCCCGCCATGCACTCATGATACTTCCTACAGATGCAGAAAGGGTGCGGAGGTTTGTCGCTGGATTGCAGCCCGGGATTCGATTTAGTATGGCTCGAGAGGTGGAGATGGGCATAGAGTATCAGCTAGTGGTCGAGATTGCTCGCCGGATTGAGGGATATTGCCAGTGGGGTAGAGAGCAGATACAATAGTATAAGAGAGCTAGGTTCTCCGGTGAGTTCAGAGGTGCCCCAGCTAGGGGCAGAGGTCAGTTTGGGAGGGGCCAACCTAGTAGGCCACCAGTTTTAGCACCACCACCTGCCCGGGGGGCTCCAACACGCCCCTATCTCAGTGCTATGCCAGAGACTTCCTACTGCCCGCCAGCTATTCAGTGTTCCTCCAGTGGGTATTCAGGTCCCCAGGGCCCTTCTGATTCTTATTTTAGTGCCATGCCGGAGAGTTCATGTTGTCCACCGGCTATCCAGGCTTCTTCCAGCGGGTCTATGGGTTATCAGGGTCAGCCATCAGGGCAGCAGGTAGCCGCCCCGCGCTGTTGTTTCGAGTGCGGAGATCCCGGTCACATGAGGAGATACTGCCCCAGACTTCGGGGCAAGGCAGTGCAGTAGGGTCAGCAGCCCATGATTTCAGCACCAGCTGCCCAGCAACCTAGAGGTGGAGGGCAGACGGGTAGAGGCCATCCTAGAGGTGGAGGCCAGATAGGGAGAGGTCAGCCAGCTACACCACAGTCAGGTGGAAGCCAGACAGGGAGAGGTCAGCCAGCTACACCCCAGTCAGGTGGAGGCCAGACAATCGGCGCTCCAGCTAGATTCTACTCTCTTCCGGCCAGGCCAGATGTATTGGCCTCAGATGCCGTCATCACAGGTATTATTTCTATCAGTGGTAGAGATGCTTCGGTATTATTTGATCCGGCGTCTACCTACTCATATGTATCACCTCTGTTTGCTCGTTTCCTGGTTATTTCTTCTGAGCCGTTGGGCACTCCTGTTCATGTGTCCACTCCTGTGGGTGATTCTATGGTTGTGGATCGGATCTACCGGTCCTGTGTGGTCACTTTCTGTGGTTTCAAGACTAGGGCAGATCTTCTGTTGCTTGATATGATTGATTTTGAGGTCATCCTGGGCATGGATTGGTTATCTCCATATCACGCCGTCCTTGACTGCCATGCCAAGACTGTTTCACTAGTGATACCAGGATCACCGAGATTGGAGTGGAAGGGTTCCACAGTGGATATGCCTAGCAGGGTTATCTCTTTCCTGAAGGCTCGACACATGGTCGAGAAGGGGTGTTTGGACTATCTAGCTTATGTTCGAGACGTCACCACAGAGTCTCCGACGATTGATTCAGTGCCAGTGGTCCGAGAGTTCGCCGATGTATTTCCTTCTGATCTTCCTGGCATGATTTCGGATCGTGATATTGATTTCTGTATTGACTTAGCCCCAGGCACTCAGCCTATATCTATTCCGCCATACCGTATGGCTCCTAAGGAGTTGAAGGAGTTGAAGGAGCAGCTGGAGGAGTTGTTAGCAAAGGGATTTGTCAGGCCCAGTGTATCACCTTGGGGCGCACCAGTGCTATTTGTGAAGAAGAAGGATGGGACCATGCGGATGTGCATTGATTACCGCCAGTTGAACAAGGTCACCATCAAGAACAAGTACCCGTTGCCTCGTATTGATGATTTGTTTGACCAGTTGCAGGGAGCTAGAGTGTTCTCTAAGATTGACCTGAGGTCAGGGTATCATCAGCTGAAGATTCGGGACTCGGATGTTCCGAAGACTGCATTCAGGACTAGATATGGCCACTATGAGTTTCTGGTGATGTCTTTCGGCTTGACCAATGCACCCGCAACATTTATGGACCTGATGAACAGGGTGTTCAGGCCTTATATCGATTCCTTTGTTATCGTCTTCATTGACGACATCTTGATATACTCACGTAGCCTGGGGGAGCACGAGCAGCATTTGAGAGTAGTGCTTCAGACCTTGCGAGAGCAGAAGCTGTATGCTAAGTTCTCCAAGTGTGAGTTTTGGCTTGAGTCAGTGGCATTCTTGGGGCATATTGTGTCCAGAGAGGGTATTAAGGTAGATCCCAAGAAGATTGAGGCAGTTCAGAGTTGGCCACGTCCCACTTCAGTGACCGAGATCAGGAGTTTCCTGGGATTAGCAGGTTATTACCGACGATTTGTGCAGGGTTTTTCATCTATTGAATCACCCTTGACTAGACTGACCCATAAGGGTGCCCCATTCATTTGGTCCGATGATTGTGAGGAGAGCTTTCAAAAGCTCAAGGTAGCTTTGACTACGGCACCAGTTCTTGTATTGCCTTCCGGTACGGGGATGTATACGGTATATTGTGACGCTTCGCGCATTGGTTTGGGATGTGTGTTGATGCAGGAGGGGCGAGTTATTGCATATGCCTCGCGTCAGCTGAAGATTCATGATAAGAATTACCCTGTGCACGATCTGGAGTTGGCAGTGATTGTTCATGCTCTTAAGATATGGAGGCATTATTTGTATGGGGTGCCTTGTGAGGTGTACACCAATCACCGCAGCTTAAAACATTTATTCAGGCAGAGGGATCTCAATTTGAGACAGCGCAGGTGGCTTGAGCTGCTGAAGGATTATGACATTACCATTCTTAATCATCCGGGCAAGGCGAATGTAGTAGCGGATGCCTTGAGCAGAAAGGCGGAGAGCATGGGTAGCTTGGCATTCATTCCAGTAGAGGAGAGGCCCCTAGCTCTGGACATCCAGTCCTTAGCTAACAGGCTTGTGAGGTTGGACATTTCAGAGTCCAGCCGAGTTCTAGCATGTGTGGTTGCTCAGTCCTCGTTATTGGGGGAGATTAAGGCCCGACAGTTCGATGATCCACATTTGGCATTTCTCAGAGAGACGGTACTTCAGGGAGGTGCCAAGGAGGTTTCTATTGGCGAGGATGGCGTTCTGCGACTCCAGGGTCATCTATGTGTTCCTAATGTTGATGGTCTTAGGGAGAGGATCCTAGAGGAGGCACACAGTTCGCGGTATTCTATCCACCTGGGAGTTACGAAGATGTATCGTGATTTGAGGCAGCATTACTGGTGGCGGGGGATGAAGAAGGATATAGTGAAGTATGTGACTATGTGTTTGAATTTCCAGCAGGTCAAGTATGAACATCAGAGGCTAGGTGGCCTCCTTCAGCAGATGCCCATACCAGAGTGGAAGTGGGAACGCATCACCATGGACTTCGTAGTTGGGCTACCGCAGACTTTGCGGAAGGTTGATTCAGTGTGGGTCATTGTGGATAGGTTGACCAAGTCGACCCATTTTATTCCAGTGGCGACTACTTATACAGCGGAGAGGTATGCTCAGATTTACATTCGGGAGATAGTCCGATTGCATGGTGTGCCGGTGTCCATCATATCAGACAGAGGCCCTCAGTTCACTTCCCATTTCTGGAGAGCCGTGCAGAGTGAGTTGGGGACTCGTGTAGAGCTTAGCACAGCATTCCATCCTCAGACCGACGGACAGTCGGAGCGGACAGTGCAGATCTTGGAGGATATGCTTAGAGCATGTGTGATTGACTTTGGAGGGCAGTGGGATCAGTTCTTGCCCTTAGTGGAGTTTGCGTACAACAACAGCTACCAGTCCAGCATAGAGATGGCCCCGTATGAGGCTTTATATGGTCGACGTTGTCGTTCTCGTATCGGGTGGTTTGAGCCTGGTGAGGCTAAGTTACTTGGCACATATTTGGTACAGGATGCCTTGGATAAGGTAAAGTTGATTCAGGGGAGGCTTCGCATAGCTCAGTCCAAGAAAATGAGCTACGCGGACCAGAAGGCGCGGGATGTATCATTTATGGTTGGCGAGAAGGTTCTCTTGAAAGTCTTGCCCATGAAGGGCATTATGAGGTTCGAGAAGAAGGGCAAGTTGAGCCCAAGGTTCATTGGCCCCTTTGAGGTGTTGAGACGAGTTGGGGAGGTGGCTTATGAGCTTGCCTTACCCCCTAGTTTAGCGGGAGTTCACCCAGTTTTTCATGTCTCGATGCTTCGGAAGTATCATGCCGACCTATCCCACGTGTTGGACTTTAGCACCATTCAGTTAGATGAGAGTTTGGGCTATGAGGAGGAGCCAGTTGCTATTATTGATAGACAGGATCGCCAGCTGAGGTCCAAGAAGATTTCTGCGGTGAGAGTCCAGTGGAGGGGCCAACCGGTCGAGGAGGCGACCTGGGAGTCCGAGGAGGACATGCGGAGCAGATATCCCCACTTATTCAGCAGTCCAGGTACTTTCTATATCCGTTCGAGGACGAACGTTTGTTTAAGAGGTGGAGAATGTAACGACCCGACCGGTCGTTTTGCCTTTTAGAACCCCGTTCCCCTAAATAAAGCCTCCTGTACTTGCTTTAACTAATTTACGACTTGCGGGGGCGATTGGTTCGGGAATTGGAAGAGTTTTGAGTAAAAATATGCCCATTTGCTTCATTAAGATTTCATAAAAAGACCAAGTTTGACTTCGGTCAACATTTTGGGAAAAGGGACCCGGATTCGCGATTTGGCAATTTCTGAGGGTCTGTGGGAAAATATGGGACCTGGGCGTATGCCCGGAATCGAATTCCGAGGTCCCTAGCCCGAGTAATGAAATTTTATCTAAAATTGTTTAATTGAAGCATTAAGGAATTAAAGAATCTATGTAATCATTGATTCCACAGGTATCGGGCTCGGATTTTGACTCTGAAGCTTGGTACAGGTCCGTAAGGTCGTTTAAGAGTTGCCCATAAAATTTGGTGTCAATCCGAGTAGTTTAAGGGCGTTTTGACCCGTTAGAGGAGAATTTAGAACTTAAGGATTCAATAGTTTGATTCATTTGGTTTTAGGGGGGTGATTCTAAGATTTAAAGTTGTTTTGGGAGTTCCGAGGGTTCGGGTAGGTCCGCCTCGTGATTTCAGACTTGTCGGTATGTTCGGGCGGGGCTCGGGAGCCCCGAGCATCAAAGGAGCGAGGCTCGAGTGATGTTAGAACTTGGAAAAAGGACTGAAGTTTACTGCTTCTGTCATAACCGCATCTGCGGTTCATGGGCCGCAGAAGCGGGACCGCAGATGCAGTCAGGACAACACAGAAGCGGCCAAGGCAGCCCAGGGGAAAAATCGCAGAAGCGGTCCTGGAACCGCAGAAGCGGTCCTGGAACCGCAGAAGCGGTTCCGCATAGGCGGCACTTCGACCGCAGAAGCGGTCTAGCCATCTTGGGCCAGAACCGCAGAAGCAGCCCACTAACTCCGTAGAAGCGGAAAGCCCACCGCAGAAGCGGAAACAGCTGGGCAGACGGGTTCATTTAATTCGAACCCAAAGCCATTTTTATCATTTCTCACTCTTCACTTAGGCGATTTGGGTGCTTCCAAGAGAGGGTTTCCACATAGCTTGGTAAGGTAAGTACTTTCCCTTCATCCTTAGCTTAAATGCATGTGTATTAGGTAGATTAAACACTAAAAATTGAGCAAAAATCAAGTGTTAGAGCAAGACCTAGGATTTTAATAAAACTAAGATTTAATCATGTAATTTGCCATGTAATGAACTAGAAATCATATATTTGTGATCCTTAGGTGATAGAGAACAACTTCCTTCGGAAAATCTCGGAATCCGGGCACGTGGGCCCGGGGTCGGAATTTAGGAAACTTGTGGGAAGGGTTGGGAAATCACTTAAATAGTTAGAATTCAACCTTGTAAGCCTTTATTGACTAGTTCTTACTTTATTTTAATTAGTTTGTGCTCGTTCGGCTACGAATTGAGGGTTTGAGCTTGTTCTTGATATTGGAAGTG